AAAAAAAAAAAAAAAAAAAAGAATATTACTCCTAAAAAACTTAATTTCCTCTCCTTTTGTGAGTTCATATACATAAACAAACCCAACAGTATAATTATTATATGTAACTGTCTATTAAAGAAACTAAGAACATGTAAATAAGGATCAAAATGTATGATAACATGAAATAGGAAGAAAAGGTCTAAAGGGGTAGGGGAAGTGGGAGGGGTAGGGGTAAGAAGGGAAAGGAAAAAATATGAGAAAAGGGAAAAATGGAAACAGTCTTTGTAAATAGGGAGGAGTGGAGGGGTTCAAGGGAGGGTGGGAGTATGGGGGGAAAAAGATCTGAAAAAGATTCTGTTTTTTTCAAGATGTGAAAATAAAAGGACTTATATACAAGGTTTGTGAATTTTGGAAATAGTTAAACCTTTCTTCTCCTTGTACATAATGTAGAATGAGCCTCTGCATCACTCACTCCGGGTCACATCTGAGACACAGGTTTCCTCAGGGACATTCAGACGCGGCGTGGAGCCCTGTGCCTCAGCTCGGGCAGAGGACAACAGACAGAGAGTGCGCTGTGCCTGGTGCAGCTGTGTGCGCACGGCTGAGGAGGGACAGCGCCCCAAGCAGCCCTCGCAGTACCACACAATTCCACACTGAGCACGGTTCTAGCAACCCACTGGACACTGTACTTTCTCTATCCCCACACTTGATAGCTACGTGTCTCTTAGTTTACTTAGTCATAGTTTGATGTTGCCATGATTAGAAATTAGATATTCAACAAATTGCTTACCAGTTTTCCAACACTAATTATTACAGAAAACAATGAAGGCTGTAGGTGTAGCTCAGCGGTAGACTGCTTACCTAGCATGTGCATGGACCTGGGTTTAATTCCCAGCATCAGAAAGGAAAAAAGAAAGAAAGACAGAAAGAAAGAGAGAGAGAGAGAGAGAGAGAAAGAAGAGAAGAGGAGAGGAAAAGAAAGGAGAGGGGAGGAAGGGTGCAGGGAGAAGAGAAGACAGAAATTGAGACCCTAAGGTGAAGGCAGGGCTTTTACCTAGAACGCCATGTCCCATGGTTCCCTGGGTGAATACAGCTCCTGTGGACTTGAAGCCATGAGATTTCTGGTGAAGTGGCTTAACTATCCAAGCGCATGAGAACAGTCTGTGGGAACAGTTCTCAGGAAATCGTGTGGGCAAAGCACCTTTGACTGCCATCTACCAAGACCACAGGGCTGACCTGACCATCTTGCAGGGTGCAGGCTGGGCAGGGTGGAGGGTCAGGACACCAGCACACCTGCTCTCCAGTTCTACGGGCATCCAAACACGGAGAGGCCAACCACACTGACATGGTCTACATGGTCACACCGGGTACAACCACATTTTCAAAGCCTCACAAGGCATGGGGAAGACTCTAATTTCTACTAAGTTATCCAGGGCAAAGCGCAGGAAGATGAACAGTATCAGATTCACTGACGAGCATGAAGTAGGCAGATGTGAGGAGCTGTGAATGTAGCTTAGTGGTACAGCGCCTGCCTGGCACATGAGAGACACTGGGCTTGATCTCCAGCACCGCCCCCACGCTAGAATCTGCAGTACACTCAAGTAAATTCTAAGAGCTAAAATGAAATGATATGGAAATCTGAAGCCTTTACTTACAATTTTATTTTTTTTAACAGAAACATTTAAAACGCAAAGTATATTGTATCTAGACTACAAATTAAATACCAAAACATGGAATCTCAACTCTCACCCGAACGGCACTCCAAGGGCACCCAGAGGAGTTACGAGGACGGTGGGGACCGCCGTGTAAGCCAGGAAGTTTCCAATCTGGCCGACAGCCACTGCCAAGAGAATCACAGGGACACACTGCAGTGAGAGAGCTCTGCGGAGGCACTGGCCACAGCTCTGGGCTGCAAGGCCACCTCCCGGGCCCTGTGAGGAGTCAGGGCCAGCAGCTCCATGTTTCGGGATGGTGGTGGCAGGGAGCAAACCCCACAGCTTCGCTGGTCCAGCTGGTCGGGGTACAATTCTAGCCCTCTGTGGAAACACCAATGTCACCAGCAGTGACAGAAGGTGAGTGTGGCAAAGAATATTTTCTACTCTTTCATACATCCTTGGGTGTTTTGGAAGAATTTAATTTTTAAAAGTGTCTTGAGAGGTCTCACAGATAGGCCAGACTGGCCTTATAACCCTTCTGCCTCAGCCTCCAAAGCAGCCAGGGTTATAGATGTGTGCCTCCACGCTCAATTCGTTTCTCTTTTTTTGGTACTGGGGATCGAATTCAGGACCTTGTGCTTATGAAACAGGCGCGGTGCCACTGAGTTTCATCCCTGGCCCCACAGACATTTTTTGTGGTACATTTATTGGTACATTTTAGATACACATAATGATCACATTCATCAGGGGGAATCTGTATTTGTACATGGTATATCTTGCTTCTTATTTTTTTCCACTCCCACCCCACTCTGACTCCTCTTTCCCTATTTACAGAAGCTTTTATTTTTCCACTTGTCCCTCTAGTCTCGTTTTTTCCTGGTCCCTTCTTTCCTTTTCACCTTTCCCCTTCCTTGTTCCCCTTCACATTTGATCATTCTCTTCCCATTCACAATATATGGAATTGGGGGTATGGGGATCAGACTTGGGACCTTGTGCTCATGAGGCAGGCAGTGGCACCACTGAGGTAAATCTCCAGCCCCTCTATTATATATTTTAACCCTTATTTCTACTGTTTCTCACATCAGAGAAACACAGTATTTAAAGGTGTGTTCAATTTATTTCACTTAAGTTTGTCTCTAGAAATGTCTCAAGCTTATCCTTATGGCAGAGCAGTACTCCACTTATACAAAAACCGTATCTCATTTAACCATTTGTCCGTTGACTGGCATCTGGGCTCTTTCCAAAATTGAGCTTCTACCAATTGTGCTGCTATAAACATGAACGTGTATGTATCGCTGTATTATGATGCTGTTAATCCTTTTGGGAAAATGTCAAAAAGGGAAATAGCTGGGTCAAATAGAAGTTTTAGTTTTTTGAAGATTCTCCACAGATTGCCACAGTGGTTGCACCAGTCTGCACTCCCATCAACAGTGAAGAAGGGTTTCTTTCTCCTTACAGCCCCACCAGAATTTAGTGTTGGTTGATTTCTTGGTAACAGCCATTTTTTTTTTTTTTTTTTTTTTT